GAGGACTATTCCTCTACCCAAAAGCAATGTGTGGTGGCCTCCAAGAAGGAATTTGGTGCACCAGATGTTGGGGCCTCAGGAAAAATTAGGGGAGTCGGGTGGAGACGAGGAGCTGTTCCGAAAAGCCCATGTCCCTCAGCTGAGCCTAGAGGGAGGCCTGCCGTCTGGGGCAGCCCAAGAATCCTGGCACAACGCCACAGAGAAGTCTTGGCTTCTAGCAGTACTGCCCAGAAGTGGAATGGCCACACATGCCCTGCTGGAGTGCCACGGATGCCCGTAGGGACAGAGGAGATTAAAAAATAAAGAATTACTTTTCAACTTTAATAGTTCTATCTATTTGCTTTCTGCAAATGCACTTCTGTCTTCCAATTAATACTAACAGAGGAAATGGAAAAAGGAGTTTACAGGAAGTTGAATTCCATTTGGGTTTCAAAATAACTTGGAAGCCGGTTGCTGAGGCTGCAAATTTTAAGGCGGCGCTCGCTGCTTTCTAGGTCGACCCTGCACTTGCACAGCCTTGAGAGTGAGGGCTTCCTTAAATTTTATGCCTCTCTGGCCTCAGCCCAGTCCTAGCCCTGCCTGGATATTTATCTTGGTTTGTCTCTGCCGAGTGCAATGAGATGAAATTAACCTATGGATGGATCTGAGGACATCCTTACATCTGCAACACTGCCCGGCATGCTGTGTGCGTACAGGCTGCGCGTGTGCAATCCACCCGAACAGTGAACACAGGCCTCAGACTGTTTCACTAAGAAGTTCATGTAGCAAGGTGGTAGGATACAAAGTCAATATGCAAAAGTCAACTGTATCTCTATATTCTAGCTAAAATCAATTGGGAGATGAAAGTTTCAAAAATGCAACTGCCAACACCATTAAAGAATATGAGGTACTTAAGGGTACACTTAGAGGTCCCCAGGTGGTATAAGTGGTTTGCGTTCATTTACTAACCTAAAGATTGGTGGTTTGAACGCACCCAGCGGCACTCTGGAAGAAAGCCCTGGGGATCTGCTTCCATAAAGATCACAGCCAAGAAAACCCCACGGAGCAGTTCAATCCTGTAACACCTGGGGTTGCCAGGAGTTGGAATCGACGCCATGGCAATGTGTTAAGGGTACATTTAACAAAATATGCGCAAGACCTGTACACTGAAAAGCCCGTGTCCTTGTTCAGTCCCTGGTAAGCTGGAGCAAGAGAAAGCAAAGGGTAAGAATTGTGTTGAGGAAGAAGGGGGTGGTTCATGGTCTCAGAGCTTGGGGGCGGGAGGCAATCGAAAGAAATACGGCAGCTCCTCCGAACTCTTCCTGTCCCTCCTGGGCTCTCCAACCTTCACACGCCCCTTTTTCCTTACAGAATAAAGCATCGCTGAGAGAAATTAAAGAAGACCTAAATAAATGGAGAGATACAACGTGTTCATTGTTTGGAGGACTCAATATTGTTACGACGTTCGTTCCATTCAAATTGAACTTAGATTTAACGCAATCCTAATCGAAAACCCAGCAGGCTTTCCTGTAAAATTTTATAAGGTGATTCTAAATTTTATATGAAACACAAGGTCCTAGAACTGCAAAAGCAATTCTGAGGGGGAAAAAAAGAAGAAGAAGAAATTTGGAGAATGTACGCTACCTGATAGTGTTACGGATTGAATTATGTCCCCTGAAAATATGTGTTGAATTCCTGGCCCTTGTACCTGTGGATGGGAGCTTGTTTGGAAATAATATTTTCCTTTTGTTCATGTTAATGAAGCTATACAAGTGTGTAGGGTGGGACCTAAACCTAATCACTTCTGACTTATAAAAAGACCAGAATAGACATAGAAAGACACATACTGGGGAAGACAGACGCCATGTGAGGATTGTCTACAAGCCAAGGAACGCCAAGGAACCAAGAACACCCAAGGCTACCAACAAGGAAGGAATTGACAGGGCTGAGATCTGAAGGCAGAGAGAACTAAGAACCAGGGTCAAGGGGTAATGGGGCATTATGGATTGAATTATGGCCCCCAAAAATACATGCAGAAGTCCTAACCCACCAGAGGCACCAAGACAACAGATCTCAGACAGTGGAGGAAGTGTGAGAAGGGCCTCCCTACAGGAATATCCGAGCAGGGGGGGACTTGGAGAGATTTCACAACTCATCAATACCTAGACCATAAAAGGATAGACAGGAACACATCTGAAAGAGGGTTTCTTTAGAGGGAGCTTGGAGTTCCACTTCCCGTAAGCAGGGCCAGAGTAAGGGGGGTATCTGCCTCTCGCCTCAACCATGGAGAGACTGAACCTCCCAAAAAGCTGGATGGGGGTCCCTGGCAGTTAGGGGCACAGTAACGGGAGCGAGAGGCTGGCTTGCCGTTCCCATGGCCCATTTACAAGCAGGGGCCCGTCTACAGCCCAAAGTTTGACCAGAGAGAAGGAGATTGACAGCCACACAGGTCACAGCTAGTGGAGTCAGGGGCCACCTGGGAGCAGACTTGGCAGAGGTGAGCTGCAGGTGGGCTCCCGGATTCCTAGGGTCTGGGGAGGGGGCAGGAGCCCTGGTGGAGCACTGGTTAAAGGCTACGGCTGCTAACCAAAAGGTCAGCAGTTCAAATCTACCAGCCACTCCTTGGAAACCCTATGGGGCAGTTCTATTCTTTCCTATAGGGTCACTTAGACTTGGAATGGACGCAATGGCAATGGGTTTCATTTGGGTTTTGGGGGAGAGAGCAAGTCGGCATGGGAATAAAGAACATCATTCCTGAGCAAGAGGCTGCTACGGAGGGACCCTGCCCTGGAGGGTCTCCAGATAACCCGTGCCAGCCCCCAGGAGAGAAAGGGGCAGCTCTAAACCCCAGGCTGACCCCAGAGCACACAACTATCTTAGGACAGCGTCAGCCTGGCCAGGCCTTTCCTGCCCTCTGGCGGCTCCCCACCAGCTCCGCCCTAGGAGGGTCAGAAAGGTCAGAAACTGCAGCTGAGGAGGGGAAGAGGAGGCCAGGGAGGAGGAAGACCTGGCCAGACTCCTCTCCAGGTCACAGTCTGAGGTGCCTTGGCTTGGAACGAAGATTGGCACGTGGGCTGATAGTTGGACCCGAAACTTGCAAGTTCTAAATTGAGACTGTATTTAGGACTTTTGGACTTTTTCCCGCTGGGGCTGATCAGAAAAGTCATAACCGTTGTCTTGGAGTCATTCCAACTCCTGGAGACCCCATGTGTGCAGAGTAGAACTTGAAAACAGATCGCCAGGCCTTTCTTTCGAGGTTCCTCTGGTAGGGTTCAAACTTCCAACCTTTGGGTTAGCAGTGAAGTGCTTAACCATTTGCACCACTCGGGGACTCCCGGTCATAGGACCATCCAAATTTTCAGCTTCCATTCGATAAAGTCAAATGGGGCAGTGGATCCAAACAGAAACCCGCGTCTGGTGCCACCCCCCGGTGCTTGTTCTGCCAACCTGCCAAGCTCAGTTCTCCCATCTCATCTTCCCAGCTGCGAAGTCCTACGGCCAGCTCTGGAGGAAAAATCGAAGACTCGATGGCTTGCCCATGGTTATTTTGCTAGTGGCCAGTAAAGAGTCATAGAACTGGTCCAGCGGAGACCAAATCCAGGATTCTTCCCTGCAGCGTTGCGATTCTCTACAACCTGCACCTTCCCGCAGGCTTCCGTGACTGCGCATGCGCCAGGGATGCGGCGCTAATATGGTCGCCCCCTCTTGCTCTGTGAAAAGCCAGTCCCAAATGTCCCTTGATACTCTCCATATTTAAATTCAGTTCATTGATTGGTATAAATCTAAGACTCCGAGGCTTGAACAAGAGCCCTTGAATCTAATTAAAATAACTCCGACTGCAAAGCTGGGGCTGCCCCCGGGGAAATTTCCTCCTTGGGCTCCTGAACACCACGTTCTTCTCTCTCATATCAGTGGTCAATATGTCTCCGGCTTTTTTTTCCATTCATTTGTGCTGTTTTCCCCGTGTTTGGAACTCCAGAGCTAGTTTGCCGGAGGTAATCAGCCAACTGGGAGCCTCTTCCAACTACCTGTTTGGGCCCAGGTTTCCCCGAGAAACAATTCTGCTCAGCAATGCCAGCAATTGCTGCATAACGTCCGCAGCAAGGAACGTCACGGGCAGCTCAGCTCATTAGGGTCCTGGAGATAGCTTCTTGTCAGGGTTGTGTACAAATTCGTCCTAAGTCACAAGTCTGTCTTTCAATCAAATTACTAGTGTCCAGAGCAAATAGAAATGAATTTGAATTTCAGAGCAAAGTCTGAAGGTTGCACTTTTTTTTTTGCAGCCCGTACTAACAGTACTTCCTTTGTGGATGTCAATGACTTAGACTCTGTGTCTAGTTCATTCTCATTTTATTTCATTTTATTATTAATATTAATCATGCTTTTTACTTACAGCTTATGAAGAGCTCTCCCAGACAACAGTACCATCCTCGTTTTGTAGATGAGGCTCATGCATCAACAAATTGGGGAAGCCAAACTTTAAAAAACCTCAAATACAATGGAATAGTACTCAGCCATGAAGAGAAAGGAAGTGCTGATACATGCTACAACGTGGATGAACCGAGAAAACATATGCTGAAGGAAATGTCAGACACAAAAAGACAAATATTGTATGACCCTACTTATGTGAAATATCTAGGCAAGTTCATAGAGCCCAAAGTTCCTTCGTGATTACCAGGGGTGGGTGGGAGAGGCGGGCGAAGGGGACTCATTGCTTAGGGGACATTGAGCTTCTGTTAAGGGTGATGGAAAAACTTGGAAATGGATAATGGTGATAGTTAAACAACATAATGAACGCAATTAATGTCACTGAATTGTACATGTAAAAATGTTGGGATGGCAAATGTTTTGTTACATATGTATTTACCACAATTAAAAAAAAAAAAAACACCTCTGGGCACCCAGCTTAAATTCATCGCTTTCTCCCCTATATTGCTAATGAATTGAAAGAACGTAGAGTCCACAAAGCCCTCTGTAACACACAAAGCGGCAAACACCCGTGAGATGTGAAGAGTATGTTGCCTGTGGATACTCCCAGGAGGTCAGTCTCCCCAGGCTCTGTCCAGGTGGCATAGGGGAGCATAGGGCTCTGCCCCGTGATGTACAGTCCCTTTCCACAATGTTGAAAGTGAAGCCAGGCCTTGAGTTTGTGCCTGCGTATTCCTATAGCTTCTCAGAATCCCGTGGACAATGACTGTCTTAGTCATCTAGTGATGCTATAACAGAAATACCACAAGTGGATGGCTTTAACAAAGAGAAATTTATTTCTTCACAGTAAAGTAGGCTAAAAGTCCAAATTCACGGCATCACCTCCAGGGGAAGTCTTTCTCTCTCTGTTGGCCTTCTCATCAGTGTTCCCATGGACTAGGAGCTTTTCCGCGCAGGGACCCCAGGTCCAAAGGACGCACTCTACTCCTGGCACTGCTTTCTTGGTGGTATGACGTCCCCCAGTTCTCTGCTTGCTTCCCTTTCCTTTTATCTCTTGTAAGGTAAAAGGTGATACAGGCCACACCCTAAGGAAACTCCCTTTACATTGGATCAGGGATATGTCCTGGGTAAGGGTGGTGTTACAAGCCCACCCTAATCCTCTTTAACATAAAATTACAATCACAAAATGGAGGCCAACCACACAATTCTGGGAATCATGGCCCAGCCAAATTGATACACACATTTTTTAGGGGACATAATTCAAACCATGACAATGACTGAGGAGACAAACCAAGCAGGAAACATGTCTAATACAACTAAAATTTAAAATTGATGATGTAATAGGAGTCTTAAAAAAAGAGCATGTTGTCCATGGGTGCCATTGTCACTGGCAGGCCTTTCTCACCACAGACTCACCTCCTGCCCGTGTTTCTCCTGAACAAGAGTGCCGTAAGCTTCAGGGTTCCAATGGAAACAGATGGCAACTAAAAGTGGTGGTGAAAGAGAATGCAAAAAATGGAGTATTACAGAATGAATAAGTTTAGGCGGAACAAGAGATGGAGCAGTGATCTCTGTGTTACCACCTTCAGCCTGGGGGGAAGGAAAGGAGGCAATTCCCAGGCCCAGTGGAACAGCCACCACCCAGCCACAACCCAGGAGGGAAGGAGCAAGGAGGACAAATGCCCTGGCTCTCTTCCTCCCTCCTGCAGCTTCCTGATGGTGCCTCCCATTGGCCAAACCCAACCAAAAGCCAGAGGGCAAGGGAACCCAGGTCATATAGTTCATAGAGGTTAGCTCCTGGTGCCCAAGCTAGGGCAGAGAAGGGTAGCGAGAGGATCCAGAAAGACAAATGAAGACTATCTAGCCTAGCTCCATCCTAACCTTGAGCCACATTACAAAAGGCCCCTTTCTATCACCTCAGCTTGGCTAGGCACCAGGCTCCAGGAAGGAAAAGCCATCCTATCACAACTATATACCCAAAAAATTAAATTAACTTGAAATAAAGAAAAAAGAGTAAAAGAATGTAGTAAGGTGGTTGGATACAAGATAATTAAAAAAATGTTTTTTAACTTTTCTTTACCCCAGCAATAATAATTAGAAAATAAAATGGGAATAAAAAGATCCCATTAACAGTAATAAAATTATATAGTACCTTCAGAAAGGTATAAGACCTCTATGAAGAAATACAAAACTAGGAAGAAAAACACAAAAGTTTATTGAAGAAGACCTAAATAAATGAGAGAGCTATCATGATCCTGCAAAGGAAGACATAATATCATAAAGATGTAAGACTTCACAAATTAACAAGAATATACTAAATATCATAGTAAACTCAATGGCAATAGTGTTGGTTTTCTGAGGAAGTTTACTGGATGTTATTGTTGTTGGTTGGTTGGCTGGTTGGTTGGTTGGTTGGTTGGCTGGTTGGTTGGTTGGTTGGTTGGTTGGCTGGTTGGTTGGTCGGTTGGTTGGCTGGTTGGTTGGTTGGTTGGCTGGTTGGTTGGGGTAAGTGCTGTAATCAAATCTGACAATTTGATTACAGAATCCTTCTGGAAGAATAAGTGTGGGTAAATAGCCAAGAATATATTTTTTAAGCAATAATAATGGAAGAAATGTACTCAACTAGAATTTAAAACTAGTGTAATTAAACCAGTATGGTACTGGCATAGGGATGGAACAATGGAACAGGATTGTCCAGAAACAAATCCAAATCTATACATGAGTCTATATGAATAAAGCAACATTTCTGAATGTTTGATCTAATTGTCTATTACCTCCTGAGTCAAAAATTAGTGGATGAATTTTCACCAAAATTGAAGGGTATGTTTGGGATCATCTGACTTAAAAGACTGTGTGGCATGCATAAAATTCACTTGGGGCAGGGACTGGGGAGACCTCAAAGAGATAGGCAGTCACCGCTCAGAGCAGCTGAACCTGAGGTCCAGTCCAGTGCCTGTGGGACTGCTAAGCAGGAAGGACACAACATATATACTGACCCCATGGACTGAGAAACAAAAATGAACCTCAAATAAAAAATGCCAAGGAAAGGCACTCCAAACTGAAGACCTAAATTTGATGCCAAGTAAGTTGCTTCTCACATGGGTACATTTTATAGACTGCTGAGCAGGGGATGCTGAGCAGGGAACTTATCTATTTAACGATAGTTACTGTGGCTCAGTGAATTACTTAATGTGGCCCTTCTAGCCATGCATTGCTTGCAGAAAATGAAGAGGATTTGAAGCACTTACTGATGAAGACCAAAGACTACAGCCTGCAGTATGGATTGTACCTCAACAAAAAGAAAACAAAAATCCTCACAACTGGACCAATAAGCAAGATCATGATAAACAGAGAAAATACTAAAGTTGTCAAGGATTTCATTTTACTTGGATCCACAATCAATGCCCATGGGAGCCAAACCAAAACCAAACCCGTTGCCGTAGAGTCAATTTCGACTCATGCGAGCAGTGGTCAGGAAATCAAATAACGTGTTGCATTGGGCAAATCTGCTGCAAAAGACCCCTTTCAAGTGCTAAAAAGCAAAGATGTCATTTTGAGGACTGAGGTGCGCCTGACCCAACCCATGATATTTTCAATCGCCTCCTATGCATGCAAAAGCTGGACAGTAAATAAGGAAGACTGAAGAAGAATTGATGCCTTTGAATTACAGTGTTGGCGAAGAATATTTAATATACCATGGACTGCCCGAAGAACAAACAAATCTGTCTCAGAAGAAGTACAGCCAGCATGATCCTTAGAAACAAGGATGGTGAGAGTTTGTCTCACGTACTTTAGACATGTTATCAGGATGAACCAGTCCCTGAAGAAGGACAGCATGCTTGGTAAGGTAGAGGGTCAGCAAAAAAGAGGAAGACCCTCAACGAGATGGATCGACACAGTGGATGCAACAATGGGCTCAAGCATAACAATGATTGTGAGGATGGCGCAGGACTGGGCAGTGTTTCATTCTGTTGTACGTAGGGTTGCTATGAGTCAGAACAGACTTGAGGGCACCTAACAACAACAGCCATGCATGGTTTTGTGACTCCAACGAAATAATTGGGTGACACTATGCAAATAAGGTGCTTGTGGCCCACCCAGGAGATTGGACAACTTGCTAATAAGGCAAATAAGGTACATGGCACCCTTGTGGGGGAGTGGGACCATGCAAATAAGGTATATGGAGCCCTAATGAGGGGATTGGTCAGTTTTGCCATCCCACTAGGCTTAAAATGAGCCATCCCAGAGGTGGAAAGGGGGGACCTCACCACCATCGAGAAGAAGAAGAGCCAGGAATGGAGCATGTCTTTTGGACCTGGGGTCCCTACACTGAAAGCCTCCTATACCCAGGAGAGCTGTAACACCAGAGAAGGCACAAGATGGTAAGAAGCAGCAGCAAGTGCAGTGGAGAAACAACAATGTTTCAGAACCAGGAGATCAGCGCAAGACAACAGTGGGCTTCCCAGCCCATGGAGCAAGGTAGCTGCAGTGGATGTGCAAACATATGGAGAGAGCTGAGTGCCTTCGGGCTGAGGCTTACCAGTGGAGTGGGGTGTGTCTGGACACTTATTGGCAGAGCTAAAGAGCTTTGTAACAATTGCCTGAGCAATGCAGAGGCCAGGCCCGAGGGGCCGAGGGGCCAAGGGGCCTAGAGAGAAGCCTACAGGTGGGCACAGCTGAGAAGAAGCTGTCCTGATTGAAGAACTGTATCCTGAGTCATTCCTGAGCCTGAATTGTAAACTGTTACTTCCCTAATAAACCCCATAATCATGAGTATTGTCTGTGAGTTCTGTGTGGCCATTGCAACAAATTATTGAATCCAGCAGAGAAGTAGAGAGTGCTGTGGGAGGGACGGCTGGTGTCAGAATTTGGTAAAAAGTTTGGAGAGAGGAGATGTCTGACTTCTACACCTTGTAGGAATCAGCCTTGGGTTGATGTTGATGATGGTGATTCTCTCTCCTCTCCCTTGTGAGTTAGAGGAAGCCAGATGCCACCTTGCCATTTTTACAGTTACTAATTCTCCCAAGCAACACCAAGGAAACAAGCTGGTTTAATTTATAATAAAATTTCAATTCACTAGTAAAAGAATGCATTATTCAGCAAAAAAAATTTGGTGTTATAATTAGCTATCCATTTGGAAGGAAACCCTGGTGGCGTAGTGGTTAAGTACTCTGGCTGCTAACCAAAAGGTCAACAGTTTGAATCCACCAGGTGCTCCTTGGAAACCCTATGGGGCAGTTCTACTCTGTCCTATAGGGTCACTAAAGGTTGGCTTTGACTCAACACAACAGGTTTTTTATCCATTTGGGAGAAAACAAAGTTAGATATCTACCTCACTCCACACACATGAAGAAAATCCTAATTAAATATCTATACATATATTTATTCAAATATATAAAGAGATAAATATAAAGATATATAGAAAACGATGTTACTTAAAATACAGAAAAAATGTATTTATAATTTGGGGTTGAGTTGAACCTCACTAGGAAGTTACACACAAACCCAGAAGCCAAAAAGAAAAGGCTTAGTTTTTGACTACATAAAAACTTTAATTTCACTGCAGCGAAAGACATAATCACAGTCTAAAAACAGATGACAGATGGAAGAAAATATTTGTAGCACATCTGTTCATTCATCATTCAACAAACATTTACTGAGCACCTACTATGGCCCAGACACAATGCTAGATAACGGTAAAATTATTCAGAAAATATTCACAAATTTGTGCTTTTATTCAAATTTTTAATATATGTGTGACTAAACAGAGTTTGTATCCAAAATATGTGAACAGAT